TAAAAAAAATAAGGTGAGTTTCACGCAGTGGCTAAAAACCATACATGTCTCACAAATTCCTGATTTCACACCTTTTATCTACCAAAACTCCAATTAGCAACTAAAAAGCCATTTGTAATCAAACGACACTGCTATTAAATGAGTTAATTACTGTGTATGCTTCTGCATAGCATTTACCCCTACTAGCCCCCCCCCAAAAAATATTTCTATACTACACCATATTGCAAATATTTACCAGTTGCCATTTCTCAATGATTAAGTAGTCTATCAGTAAACTAGCACCATATCCAGGTGATCACTGAAAGAACATCCAATCAGCATCATGGTCTGCCTCCATCCTTCTATACTGCCTCGTTACAATTATTTTCCCAGTTGGAGAGAAGAGGAAAACTGCTCAAAAGCATAATGAAAAAGGTACTATGTGATATTGATTTCAGCAAGGTAGAAAGGAACCAATGAGTTGGGAAGTGAGACAGAGCAAGAAAATTCTCTGTCTTGCAGCTCCATCTTTACTATTTCTTGTTATGCCGCAGCTGAGCCACAATTTTATCAGAAGAGCTCCAAAATAGCTGCATTATCAGGAATACACAAGGGCACATATAAAGAGGCCCTTAGTCCCAAGACACATATATTTAAAACACGAGGATAATAAAAATATTGCAGCAGAAGATGTGTACATTCTCAAGGACTATATAAATCTTCAAAAGATACATGAACACATATGAGAGATTATGGAGATAATACGTAATTAGGAATCCTGCCCTGCAAACAATCTTATAGATTTTTTTTGCATGCATATGCTAATACAAGACACAATATAATTACGAGCTTCTTTCCTCAGATCCAATTTTCAAAATGGGAATAAAAATAGCAGGGTTTTTTTCTTAACACTGTAATTTCTATGATATAAACTTTGGGTAGGGATGAGCTATGCCTTTTGAGTGTCTTGATTGGATTAATATAGTCCTTCAACCAGTGCTTATCAAATCACTAAGTCAAAAAGAATTACTTTAAGCTGTGAATATAATTTCTTTGACACTTAGTCCTGACAATGTTGCTTCATCTTCAGAAATGGATGAATCAAATTGCTTTTTGCAATGATTAGCTATTAGTTCACCGTCACCAGTATTATCTATTCTAACTGGCAGAAGCTCTCTAGAATCCCGACTGCTTCCTGAGATCAATTATCTTGTCTATATGAGATGAAAGTTATGATCATATTCATGAGCAGATTATAGTCATGTTCCAACCCTATTCACATTTTGCAATGACCCACTTAAATCAATGAAACTTAAATCATAAAATAGATCAGGTAAGAGGTACCCTAATATTTGCTGAACTGAAGTTTTCAACAACTCCAGCATTGTTGAAGAAGTTCAGGTTTGGAATGCTGAGATTTGTAGCACTTACAGGATAATAATTCTTCATATTTATCTAATGGTAAAAAGGTAAAGAGATGTGAATATGACAATGGAAGACCTGTCAGAGAGCTGCTCTCTAGAGAACAATCTGATAAGAGACAGCATAGCCCACAACTGCAAAGTAGGCAAAGCAAGCAGTTCAAATTATGATGGAAGGAGAAATGCAAGACTTGCAAGTGATGGAAGGAGAAATGCAAGACTTGCAAGATTCTGCTAATGTAGTTTTACACTAATGTAGAATTAGATTAGATTTTTGTATATGGTCTGTCTGGTAAGATTGACAAGGTTTCCTGAAGCTGAGCAGAAATCCCTGTGACTACCTGTACAAGCACATAATTTCCTTGGCCACAATATGAAAGTGGTTTGCTATTGCAATCCTCTACAATCTTTTTAGCTTAACCTAGCATGCTAGGCTTTCCTAATGGTTTATCCTCAAAGAGCTAACAATGCCTGACTCTACTTAGCTTCCAAACTAGGCAATGTCAATAAAAACAGTCTATGGCATCAGTTGTATACCTTGCCCAATTCTTAGCAATCAAGAGTTGGGAATGGGCAGTGAACAGTCCAATTACAGGTACTTTGACATATGATCAGTTATTTAACAACTATTTGTAGTTACAATGGCCTTGGAAAAAGATGCAGAAATGAAGATGAATCATGAAGATCTAAGGTCCCTTTCAGCATTCCATCAGAAGAGTTTCCTTCCACACAGAGAGGAGAATTCACAACCTTCTGCAAGGTGCAAAAACAATTATTAGGTCTTCATGATTTAAGCTTTGTTTCAGCACCTTGTGGAATGATATAAGCTCTTCCATGCATTAAAAGAAGTTGATTTGGTGGGATGCAGAAATGGAGCTTAGATCTTTATGATTTAAATTTCATATCTGCATCCTACCAAAGGAGTTTCCTTCTGTGCATTGAGGAGAGATGATTTCCTTCTAAGGGATGCAGCAGAAAAGCTTAGATCTTCATGATATAAGCTTTCTCAACAAGGAAATTTCTTTCCATGCATGAAAGGATGCTGAACTCCTTCTGTGGGGTATGGAAATGTATCATAAGTTCATGCTCTCCACTCCACCATGCCTGGGAAGCCTCCAAAGAATGGTGCCCACTTACAGAAGGGTACAAGGTGGCTTCTATAAGAAGGCCATGCCTTGCACTGGCTGTGTGCAAAAGTTAAGGGGAGCAATGTATACGCTCTGCTGTGTCCTGAAGCCAATTGATGCTCCTGGGGCACAACAGTTTTGCATCTGTTGGTGCGCCCTGTAACCAGCCAGGGTTTCCTGGGTCTGGGGGACCAGAGAGAGGCTGAAGCCTCCAGGGACTTTACCTCACACTCTGCTTAATGACCACATAATCACTTAACAACTGCAACTGGCAAAGCCAGGATTTTGGTTATTGAATGAAGCAATCATGCGAGCATCTCATTTAACAACTAGAGCATTTAATGACCAACATTATGATCCCAATTGTGGTCATAAGTTGAGGACTATCTTTATATTGTCACACCATCAGTTTATGTAAATAAGAGCAGCAATAAACACACATTAGGAAGGGGAGGGAGGGAGGGAGAAAGAGAGAGAGAGAGAAAGAGAGAGGGAGGGAGGGAAGGAGAGAGGGAGGGAATTCCTCTACACTATACTCAGGTTACAGAAGGCTGATTTTAACCTTATGAAGTATTTGTATTTCCTCAATGACAAATCACATAACAGATCACAATGCATCATTTATTTTCATTGTTTCCTATCATTCATACTATAGGTTGTTTAGAATCATAGAACTTAGTAAGAGGAAATGCTATGTTATGTATTTGCAACAAAAGAAGTAATTTAATTGCCATTTTTAAAATGCTTTACAGTATACTCAATGGAAGTTAAATTAATCCAAAGAAATACTAAGTAGAGAAAATTAACACAGAGCAAGGATGCACTGTTAATATGCTAATGGTAGCTGAGTTACATGGTAGGAATAAAAGGATTAAAATATGAAGGTATAATTCTCAATATTCTTAATTACAAATTCAGCTGTATGTTACTATTAGTGACAGTTCAAGGTTAATGAATAAACTTTACAGGGAAACAGAAAAAATAATCATCAAATCAAATTCATGGTGCCTTCATATGAACATGAATATACTGTATACTCAAACTTGACACATAAAAATCTTTCTCAGATAATTGGGTTCCTCATTTCACAGGAACACAGTATTTTAATTAGTAATTGAATTTAGCTGAAATACTCACTTAAAAAGAAATTGCAATTGCTTTTATATGCTCAGATCAGCAAACAAAACCAAATCCCATTATTATATTTAATAGTTAGTAGAAAAGTTAAAAGCATGCTCACTCAATTCTTAAAGAATACATATTATATTTGCAATAAGTCCATAAGAAACACTTGATTTTTTTTTAGTTCTCACTTTGTTTATAAAGGGTGTTAATAGCTCCTTTGGGCTGTTTTTTGCCATTCTATTCAGAGAATGATTACATAGCTTCAGATCCAGAGACACTGTCCCAGTGCCTAAAGATTATTATCCTGCCCCTACTGTTTCACATCTGCATGTAGCTATTGGATTAAATCATTTATCAACATGCAATCTAGTATTGTCAAGATGCTGCTGATACCCATGTGTATTTTCCAATCCAAGGTGAATTATATTGTCAAGGACTTGCCCCATGCTGTTGGAGTTTGACTGGGACTTAAACTCAGTTCTGCCAAATGTTCTGGATTCTCCCAGACATTTCCATTTTAAGCTCTGAATAGTACAGCACTTCCCAAATAGAACTGGTGCATAATGTAGGAAATATCCTGGATTTACAGCTCCTGCTGCCATAGCAGGTGGCAGCTGTGGCCAATGGTGTCTTTGCCAGATTTGTCCGTTGTGTTAATTGTGCTCTTTCTTTTCCTGGAACAGGAATCCCTTTTCATGCTGATTCATGCTTTAATCACCTCATGTATGGACTATTGCAATGTGTTGTACAGTTACATGGACTACCTCAGACAGCCATTCAGAAGTTGCATTTAATCCATGCCTAGGTATACCCGTGTAAAAATCTGCTGCATGAACTGTATTGGCTACGACTAAACTTTCAATGGGTGCATTTAGTGGATGCTAGTTGTGTCCTTTAAAGCCCTTCATGGCATACAGCCTGGCTATCTAATGGACTGCCTTTCTCCATGATTTCTACCAATCTGGCATACTCTAGGTACCATTTTTAACGTAGTGCTTTTGTGATGGGACTCAGGTGGCATGTCTTCTCTTTCGTGGTGCCTGCCCTCTGGAATAGTTTCCCCAATTTACTATCCTTTAAATAGGCCTTGAAGATCTGGCAGCAGGTAGAAAGTTACATCCTGCTGTCAGTAATTTAACTGAATTATTTGGTATTGTATTCCTTGGTTATAGTTTGTTTTTATCGGTGCACTCCACAAAGTTGGGGCAACCTAAATGTTTGGTATGTAAATATTTATATAATACCACATTCAACAATTCTAACTTTCAACCTAAGTAACATGGATAAACATGGATGAAACAGTGGATTAAGCTGAGGACAAAAATAAAATAAAATAAAAAAGGATTACCTCAAAGCAACCGTCTTTCCATTCCTGTGTGTGCACATCACCTGCCGGGTCTGATATCCAATTTGTATATTCCAATATTTATTCTCCTGTCTGTTCTGCCTATTATGATTCCTTTTCTTCTTAATCAGTTCCCGGGTTTCTGGATCCCGAATGTTTTTCTCTTTGTCCTTCTCCTTGTTCTTTCCACGTTTTCTTACCTGTCTGACATGCCGCAAGTGAGGAATTGAACAGGTACTCCAGGATCCCACGCTCAGACTGTACAGGTTTTCTTCAGTGGCGCAGGGGGATGAGCTGCAAGCCTGAAACTCTGTCAGGTTGGGGCAGGCAGAGCCTCCATATCGAGGGGGAGCTACAATATGACGAAAACGGTAGGAGAGCCCTTTGCCACAGCTCTTAGAGCACTCTGTCCAGGCTGAGAAATCAGATACAATGCAGTCCTGCTGGCAAGGAATGAGGCAACCCTGTTCTAGCTGAGGCTTTGGCTCAAAGTATTCACATATGGCGTCCTCAACTATCACACCATTTGATTTTTGGACACAAATAATATCTCTCCTCTGAATTCCTTCTTCCCCGTTCAAACATATTGTTGTTTTCTCAATGCTTTTTGAAAGAATTGGCTGACACTGGTTCCAGCTGCCCAGCTGCCAGTCATACAGTTCTTTGTGCCAGTCACAAACTCTGAAGCAATTTTGTTGGTTGTCAGGTCTTTCTGCCTGCTTGCAATTTGTGAAGAGAGTGGTCCATCCTTCCACATGAGCACACCATATAGCTCGAGTCTGAGTGCCTCCGGGGCCACATTCATCTCCCATGCACCTACCCCACGAACCTAGAAAAAAAATGGAAGAAGAAAGGGAGACTGACAACTTATACCCAATAACTGAGACCTAGAAAAATCAAGCTCAAAAGAATAACCTTTCCAGAATCTGCATGTTGCTTAAGATTACTTGCATCTTATATTGTACAGTGAAAAAATTATTGCACGAATGTAGTCTGCTCCATCTGTTTCCTCCCCCCTTCTATATATTAAGAAAGTGTTTAGCTGTTTTTTTCCCTTTAAAGTTGAAATGAATGATGTATTTTAGGAATCAACAACCTTTTCTATTGACTGGGATCAATAATGAATTTGTGTATAACTTTATGGGTACCAAACAAATATAAATGACTTTATATGTGTGTATATAAAATATACACACTCAGTCTAGGTTTTATCATATATTGTATGGTGTTAAATTTTGTTGAGCATTTATGCAAGAACACAGAGAGTTTATATGTTTCAAGAATCACATGAGAATTTTAGTTATTATTATTGTGGTCATTATTATTATTGTTATTTTGGAAGTTAGTGGGTTCTATCTTGTGGTCTTTTGCAGTTCTTGAATTGCAGCAAGTATACATTTATCTTGAACATTAATACATCATAACTGGTGCATATTTTAAGGCAAACCTGGAATACAGATATTAAGAAACAGAAGATTCAGTTATCATGTTAATTGCCAGAGGTTTAAAAGCACATGGTAGCTACTGAAGAAAAAGACTGAGTGCAGATTAAACTAGAATTAAGGCTTTCAATATTTAGCTAGATACTCAGCAAAATCAATATATGCTTTGTATATAAATTCATTTCAGGAAATTACCCTAATTTATCTCAAACTGAGTTTCTACAAACAGTGTGATTGTCACTCTGTTTATTCCATTTTGTGCATACAAAAATTGTCCATGCTATAAGCCTCTGTCTTAGCACATTTTTACATCTTTTATACATTTTAACCAAGTCTTCATTAACAGATGGAATTTCTCCAGGTCTACTCTAGAAGATAAGCTGTAGCCTTTGTGAATCAAAATTTTCAGGTAACACAACCCATACTCAAAAGAGAGTTCAAACAGTTGTCAATGGATTAAATCATGCCAGCCCACAAACTGGATCTGGGTAAACAAATAAAATGACATTATTATGCCATGTTGCATGACCTAACAGCAAGAAAGAAGATATACTTTCCAATGCTGAGCTGCAAAAGGTGATAAATAGTTTTAGCAACAGCTCTGATGGCACCTCAGGCATATAATAGGTATAAAAGGTCCATAAAACATACTACAAATGCAGCATGCTCTGAGGCTAGATGAGATTTTGATAGAGTATTTTATAACCAAGTCTTTTAAGGTGTGGCTGAGCAGAAGATTGTAAAAAGGAATTAGTAAAAGGAACAGGGAAGCAACAGGAGGAATTAGAATTCAGGAGAAGAGAAGTAGTATGGTGGTAAGAAATGATGATTCCCGGTTTAAATCTTCAATATCTCAAGATTAAAATGGGAAAATAGTCACATCTGAATTCATATAATTAAACATTTTCCTACATGTTTGGAATGACAATTACCAGAATTCTACATGAGTTGGCTAGTACAGAGCATTCTGAATAGCACATTACTCGAGAGGGCAGGTTTTAAAAAGAAAAGGCATATCTTCCTTCAGATGGTATTGCTTAATACATGGGAACTGGAGCATGCCATACTAAAACCATTTCTCAGTTGGGAGTAAACAGTGGAGAAAGACCATCCCTCAAAACAGCTAGGCCCTATACGATGAAGAGTTTTGCAAGTAAAATCAGCACTTTGACCAAGACAGGTAAATGTTCTTATTTAATGGTATTGTTGCAGGATGTAAGCTGTTCCAAGCAAAGCTGTATTTTGCAACTGATGTGTTGAGTTTGTCAATGCCATTTTGCCAAGTGGTGCTTCAGTTGTTTTGAATTCCAGGTGCCTATTATTTCCTCTCTTTTTTTTTTTAACTCGAAGTGGCAAACATATCTAATATTTCTCCCTCGTATTTTACCCATAACAGTGAGATGGGTTGGGCTAAGAATACTGGCCAAAGACACCCACCTGGCTTTAGGTTAAGGAAAGCTTAGAATATACAATTTTGCTGGCTCTCATATCACTAAAAATAATCCACACTATGTTATCTTACAAGTTTGGTCAGATTTGTTCTTTGTCCTTTTCTATTCTAGGTGTCTCCTTGATTGCTCCATCTCCTGGAACTCCTCAGAAAATCAAAAAGTCTCAGGAACAATAAACAGGGAGAAGCCACACAAAAGTAACATGCAGGAATGAGCAAAGATGTCACCAGTAAATAAGCCAACTGATCCCTAGAGATAGTTTCAGCCACAAAGCCTCCATCTGCCTCTCCAAGCTATTGCGATTTTTTGGGTAACAACTACTACTGTGTCCCTCCTCACCCTCCACTGCCCTGAAATTGCAGTCAATACCACATTTAAAACCCATCCCATTTTTCTAAAAAAAGATCCCCTCCTCCAACTGAACCAGAATCTGATTATTCATGCCAGATTGGTGACCTCATCCACAGTAAGACTCTAGATGAGAGGAGCTTTATTAAACTGATCTGATGTGATAATAGGATCAACAGCTGTCTGTTCCAAGTATACTACAACTCTTTTTAATGTCTCCATTCTATATATTTTCTTGCAATTCACTCATTATTTCATCTGCTCTTTCAGCTGATGAAACCTTCATCTCCATCTGAATATTTCTATAAACTGAATGCATGGAGATTAAAATAGATATAAACTATAGTTTTTTGGATTTAAAAAAATCACTGAGTGCTATGAATTAATGTTGTCTGGATAGTGAGAATATAGATTTCAGATCTACATTTCCATGAAGTCAGCATAAATATAATTTTACCTATTTGTTCTAAATGGGGAAAAATGATTTAGAAATACTAGTATTTTGTAGGCTTCTAGGTAAGCAAGTACTCTGGATAAACTGTATAATGCTTTCTACATGGAAATAAAGAGATAAAGAGGATTTGACAGATTATGAATTAACCTCAGATTTAAGAATAATTCAAAAATAATATTTCTGAAACACTTTCTATTTTAATCACAAGCAAAGACAATGCCATTGTTTACCAGTTGCATCAGATTAGAAGTACAGTTTGAATACTCTTAATAATTTCAAACAATTTCATTGATACGGAACACTTACTATCAACTCAGGTTTTGAAGATCTTCTCATAAAGCAGAGGTCCCCAACCTTTTGGGAAACATGGACCAGTTACATGGTGAGAGGTTTTCCTGCAGACTGAAGGGGGGGTGGTTTTATGTGCTGCCTGACTCCTAAGGGCTTTGCTTGTTTGTGTGGCCCGCTTGCTGGCTTGCTGCGGCCCGGTACCAGTCCATGGACCGGGGGTTGGGAACCCATCATAAAGAGATTGAATTAGGCACTATAGTTCATGTACCTGTCTCTAGATCAGGGGTGTCAAACTGCTGGCCCATGGGCCGGACGCGTCATGTGGAAGCCGCACCTATCCCATTGGTGGCAATGGCAAAACCAGCCTGATACATTGCGTGATGTCACATGACATCATGAGTTTGACATGCCTGCACTAGATAGAATTTGATAAGAGTAGGGTTGTTGTATGGCTATATGATGGTTAAATGAACAGGTTGATGTTGCAACCAAATTCAAGTGCAACAAAATCATGGTAAATTGGACCAGAAAAAGCCATCCATGGAGAACCTACAAGATATTGGATTACAATGTTCTGACATCTATGTGGATTCTCTGAAGAAATAAGCCAATTCAGGTTGACAGTTATAGAGAAAAAGGCTGGGGGGGGGGACAAAGCTAGATTGAATAACTCAGACTGCAGTGTGGAAATGATTTATTGCTTAACATGTAGGAGAAGATTGGATCTTGTAGCTTTTCTGGAGATGGATTATAAAAATTGTAATATTTTCAAATTTAAATAGAATACTATGGAAGAGAAGGAACAGAGATCAGAGAACCGACATGGCCCCACTATCTATGTTACATGGAAAATGAGGCACAGAAAAGACCTTTAATTGTAGATGAGAAAGTGTTGAAGAGTGTAAGTAAAATATTCAATAGTTGCAGAAGGCTATACTTCATATAAGCCAAAATGAGCAATGTCATGATCTTATCTGGCAAATAATAGAACATTATGTAGCAGGCAAAGGAAATAAAAATTGGCCAATACAACTGTCACTTTTGTTCTTATACCATACTTATTTTCACAGCATCTAAACCAACACATTTGCAACTCAGAAATATAGGCCATTCCTTCTTTGTGAGCTGGCAAAGTAGAACTATAGTTACATTTTTAAATCTCTCTGTATATATGTTTATGTATGCATATTTCTGTGTGTATGTTTATGTGTGTGTGTATATATATGTATCTATATACATACATACATACATACTGTGTGCATTGTTTGTGTGTATGATATTCTAATAAAGAGAAGATATCATAATACAAAAATAATAGATGTATATTATTGATCTAGGTTTACTGTCAGGATAAAAGATATTCTGCTTTATTTGCATGGAAAATAATTATTCTAAGGCCACGTATTGTTAAATATAGTTTTACTTTAATTCCATAAATAATTAGCAAAGGAATTAGCATTTGTGAACTTTAAATCACATTGCTTTTTTCCTCATCAGGTGTACCAAATTTACAATAATATTTGCACACTGCCCAAGTGTAAGAGTTTAACCCCTGAAAGCAAGTGAAAAAATTAATTTCATCCCTGCCAATAGTAAATTTGACATTATTTGTTCCCTTTGCATTTTATAAAAACAATTACTACACTGAGATGCTCAATCCTTACTTATTATCTATTGTGGTATTCCTTTCCAATACAGGTAGTCCTCACTTACTGACAGCCTTGTGCAATTACTATCTTAAGTTACAATGATGTTAAAAATAACTTTGTGACCAATCCTCACAATTATGACTTTGTAGCATCCCTCCGCCACATGATCACCATTCATGTACTTTGCAACTGGT